GGTGGACCCAGATTCTGGGCGGGTTACCTGTGCCATGCCCTTATTCTACGCATTGGCTTGTGTAGGGAGGTGAGCACTGAGGAAAGACAGGTGTGTTCACTCTGCCCAGGTGAGCTCTGGGATGGGGCTCCCTAGGAGGGATCGTGGGGAGGGATGTCCAAGCTACTATTCAGCATTGGCCAGTTGGGCTTCAGAGACATCCCGACATCTTTGCCTTGTCCTGTGGTCTCCACAGAAACAGTGTTGGGGCTCCCCCGAGTTGCTGCAATTCCACAAGTGGGGAGCTCCCCTCACATCTCTCTGGTTCCTCAGCCAACCCTCCTCTCCAGCTGCCGGGGCCCCATCCGCCTGACGCTTGGACCGTGCTGCATGTTTCTCAGCTTCTGTCCACCTCTCCCGTCTGGCTGTCAGTGTGTGTGTGGCGTTGTCAGTTATGGCGGGGTTTCTGGGCCACGTGGTCCGTGCTGTTTGAGCCATCCTCAACTAGGGCCTGTGCCATGTCTCTAGGGGAAGGGGCTGGTATGAGGCCTGGAGAACTTTCAGGACTGTCTTGCATGGGGGAGTGTCTACAAGGTTTAGGAGCCGGGATAAAGGTAGTTCCTGCAGAGCTTGGACAGCTACAGCCCACTCTGGGGGGCCATTGAGAACTACCTGAGAGGTCTCCTCCCCATCATTTGCTCAGGATACCTGTTAGTCAGGGTTCTCCAGAGAAGCAGAACAAATTCCTTTACTGTGTGGGGTATGGTGAGCCCCATACCTGATGGGGAGGCCAGCAGGCCGGAGACCCGGGGAGAAGCTGCAGGCCAGTCCCGAGGCCGCCTGCTGGCAGAACTCCCTCTTGCTCTGGGGAGGTCAGTCTTTGTTCCATTCATGTCCCCTCCTCATTGTGGAAGACGATCTGCTTTACCAATTTAAATATTTATCTCATAGTCCACCAATTTAAATATTTATCGCATCCGAAAACAACCTTACAGAAACATCCAGAATACTGTTTGTCCAACTGCCCAGGAACCATGGCCCAGGCATAACATCAACCATCACAAGGCATTTCTCAGGTTTGTGTGTTCTCTGGCGTCTGACCCCCAAAGCCACATTCTCCTTGTCCTCAAGGATGGGTTTCTGGCCCTTAGCAACTTTGAGACAGATTTGAGGCATTTGAGGTTCCTTGGAAGCGCCAGTCATGCCCTGGTACTCTGTGTCCTGGGGGCCCTGGTGCTGAGCATGGTCATCAGGCTGGTTCACACTCAATGACTGCAGCACCCTCACCAACCTCACATAAAGCAGGAATATTTAGCCCGGTCTCAAGGGTTTGCGAGGGGAAGGAAATGATGGGGAGCTGGGTGGGACTTTTCACATGGGGAAGCATTGGGCTCACATTCTGGGTTACGATGATCCCATCCTTTTTCAGAGAGCATTTTCTCTCTTTGCTTATTGCCAGGATCTGGTCCTGGGGAAAGAAGCAATTTGGGGCTCTGGTGAGAAGGCACAGGGGTTCCCCCAGAAGCAAGGACAGAGAGAGCACAGCTGTGCTTATTCAGGTGTGCTCAGCAGGCTGGGATGTCTGCCGCCTGGGGCTCCTGCGCCTTTCTCTTTGATGTGACCTCTACCTCTCCCTCACCATCCAGGCTGTCCTGGGGCAAACTCCAGGTGGTCACCTTTAGCTGTGTCTCTGGGCAGACAAGTCTAGACAAGACACCACTTTCTCCTCCACTCCTGTTTCCTGAGTGTACCTGGGGAATACACCAGGTCCTCCCCCAGACACCTGCTCCATTAGTGACTGGTGGCCGTCTTCACACTCGCGGTGAGCAAGGAAGTGGTACCAGCTGGGATCCTTCTTCTCAAGCCAAACCTAGCTGAGAAGGCTGAAGCAGGCACCGCAGCCGGTCCTGTGGACTTGAACTGCTCCGCTGCTGCAGGCGTGTCCTGCCAGGTGGAACACAAGCAAGAACACACTTCACATGCACAGTGCACACTAGAACGCTATTTCATTCTGAGGGGAATTGGACGACCCTTGACTCCCTCCTCCCTCTGACTTACATGTTAATTTTCATTTTCTAGATCTCATGGACTTTTTAAATAAAGTTTACGTTTGATATTTTACAATTTGTATTGAAGAATCATTTGCATAGAGTGAAAAGCACCAATCTTGGGAGTTCAGCCAGGTATGTTTTGGCACGTGTGTTCACCTGTATGATGCCAGTCCCCACTGTGGCATGGAGCATTCCCGACCAGCCCCAGACTACACCTTCCCCTTCCCTGCCTTCTCTCCTGATCCGCTGCACCGCATTCCCTACACAGCAGACAGAGCGGGAATCGTGCCGTTCTTCTAAGGAACTTCCTCCAGTGACTTCATTGCACTGAGAAGCCCCTCCTGACGCTCGAGGGCCGCTGTGCTCTGGGCCCTCCTACAGCTCTGACTGGTCCCGCAGCCCCCAGTCACTGGCCTTCTTCCTGGCTCCGAGCACAAACCCCATCTTAGCACCTCAGGGCCTTTGCATTCACTCCCCTGCCTCCGTCTCTGGAATTCTGCCTCTGAGATCTGCATAAGTTGAGCCCTTTCATCATCTGGGTCTCAGGTCAGGATTGCTGACCAAGACTCTCTCCTTGACCAAACTTTAGCCAGGCTCCTCTGAGCCACCTTTTCAACTAGGCCTGGACCTTGGTCCTGTCTGTCTTTGGTCTGCCCAGCCCCATCTTAGCAAAGAATCCTGCTAGGCCACCCCCCACTTGCTAGGCCACCCCCCCCACTTGCAGGGTCATCCCCCTACTTGCAAGGTCACCTCTCCACTTGCTAGTTCACCCCCCACTTGCTAGGTCACCCCCACTTGCTAGGTCACCCCTACTTTTTAGGTCACCTCCACTTGCTAGGTCACCCCCACTTACTAGGTCACCCCCACTTGCTAGTTCACTCCCCATTACTAGGTCACCCCCACTTGCTAGGTCACCCCCACTTGCTAGGTTACCCACACTTGCTAGGTTACCCGCACTTGCTAGGTCACCCCCACTTGCTAGGTCACCCTCACTTGCTAGTTCACTCCCCATTACTAGGTCACCCCCACTTGCTAGGTCACCCCACTTGCTAGGTTACCCACACTTGCTAGGTCACCCCCACTTACTAGGTCACCCTCACTTGCTAGTTCACTCCCCATTACTAGGTCACCCCCACTTGCTAGTTCACTCCCCATTACTAGGTCACCCCCACTTGCTAGGTCACCCCCACTTGCTAGGTTACCCGCACTTGCTAGGTTACCCGCACTTGCTAGGTCACCCCCACTTGCTAGGTCACCCTCACTTGCTAGTTCACTCCCCATTACTAGGTCACCCCCACTTGCTAGGTCACCCCCACTTGCTAGGTTACCCACACTTGCTAGGTCACCCCCACTTACTAGGTCACCCTCACTTGCTAGTTCACTCCCCATTACTAGGTCACCCCCACTTGCTAGTTCACTCCCCATTACTAGGTCACCCCCACTTGCTAGGTCACCCCCACTTGCTAGGTCACCCTCACTTGCTAGGTCACTCCCCACTTGCTAGGTCACCCCCCACTTACTAGGTCACCCCCCACCTTTGCTATCTGATTGTGTTATATATTCCCCACCTTTGATGTCTAAGTCTCTGACCGCCTTTATCAGGAATCGTGTTAGGTCCCATAGTCAGGTTTTGAGGCAGCTGCCACAAGGTTATGGAGGAGGAAATGAAGGCTCCGTTTTTGTGCTGGGTTTGTCGAGTCCATTCGGGTAGAAAGCAGCAAAGTCAGGCTTGGAAATGGGTTTTGTGACTCCATGTTTCTCCTCCTTCCGTCCTGTCTTGGAGAATCATTCCCTCCATGTCTTCTCTCTGTGTTTTAGAGAACTGGAAAATAGGCCACTTTAACGTGGCGTCTCCTACAAAGAGGTAAGAAGACCCAGCAGGATGGCAGAAGGACTGGGAGTCTGGCCAGACCTCTGGATGAATGTCAGGGTTGTTGTTATACCCAGGACCATCTGTTGTCACCCCCTTGTCTCTGCACATAGTGACAAGGGACAAGGCAAAGAGAGAGGGCCTGTGTTCTTGTAGACGTGTGGTGTGCATGAGGAAGCAGAATGGGTGGTGAAGGATGACTGGCCTTGGCTGTGGGCTCACTCTAGTGGGACATTGGGTTGGCAAGGTTCTGGCCAGAGTCAGAAGGGCCAGGACCCCAGGCTCATTCCTCCTGTGTTCGTATCCCATGCAAACCAAAAATAAAATTCTAAGCCCTCCAACCAACTGAATGGACCCTTCCTCTCAGGCAAAGGCATTCCATCCTTAACCTCAAACACTAGTTCAGGCCATGATGGGATGTGGGGATCAGGAATGCCTCATTATACCCTCCTCCCATTGGAATTCAGGCACAGCTGGCCAGCATTAACATTAAAACGGAGTGCTTAAGGCCAGGTGCGGTGTCTCATGCCTGTAATTCCAGCACTTTGGGAAGTCAAGGTGGGTGGATCACTTGAGGTCTCAGGAGTTCGAGACCAGCCTGGTCAACATAGTGAAACCCTGTCTCTACTAAAAATACAAAAATTAGCTGGGCATGGTGGTGCACACCTGTAATCCCAGCTACTCGGGAGGCTGAGGCAGGATAATTTTTTGAACCCAGGAGGTAGAGGTTGCAGTGAGCCAAGATCGTGCCACTGCACTGCAGCCTGGGCAATAGAGCAAGACTCCATCTCAGAAAGCAAAAAACAAAAAACAAAAACGCAAATCCTCTCTTCTCTCAACATCCTTTCTACCATTTCTCTGGTGTACATAGAAAACTCTTTGGAAGAGCTAGTGTTTTGAGAGAAGACTTGGGTTTTTTGTTTTTGCATTTGAAGAATCCTGAATTATCAAACATCAGAAAAGCACAAGCACAGAGAACTTGCTGAAAGGACTTTATTTGAGATGAGGAAACAAAGTTGATGACAAAGTATAGGGCATAAAACAGTTTCCTTCTAGGTCATAAAGCAAATTATGAATACATTTCTCTCTGTTCTCATCCCTCAGAGGCAGCAGAATCTGTTGCTAACACCCATGACAGTGCAGGTCCCATAGGAATATTCTGTTGAATAACAGGACCTTCTGCAATTGCAAGTGAAACTCCTTGTTGAGCCTGGGGACAGAGAGAGACAGAGCATCAGACATTGAGTACCAGGGTCAGCAGCGGGCAGTAAAGAGAATCTTCGGGAAGTTGCATGCTTGCTGACATGTAATGCTGGCTGCATTACAGCCAATAGCATGATCGCATGATCAATAGGAATAAATATGCAGAGCAGTGTTGGTCGCACACAGGATTAGAGACCCATTCTGATATGCTGCACTTATCTGCTCCTGCCCTGTCACACACACGTCTGAATGCACATGTATGACTGTCTCCAGCTTCCAACGGTTCCTATAAAAGTCAGATTAAAAAACATTCCTTTAGCAGTTGGATGTGGTGGCTTACGCCTGTAATCCCAGCACTTTGGGAGGCCAAGGTGGGTGTATCACAAGGTCAGGAGTTCAAGACTAGCCTGGCCAAGATGGTGAAACCCCATCTCTACTAAAAAAATTACAAAATTTAGTCAGGTGTGGTGGCTGGTGCCTATAATCCTAGCGACTTGGGAGGCTGAGGCAGATAATTGCTTGAACCCAGGAGGCGGAGGTTGCAGTGAGCTAAGATAGTGCCACTGCACTCCAGCCTGGGCAACAGAGTGAGACTCCATCAAACAAAACAAAACAAAACATTTCTTTAAAATTAGGCTCTCTTCCTTGAAGTAGAGACTCCTCAATACATTTCTACATAGCAAAAATTTAGAAAATTTCATAGACTTGTCATAGAATTAAAAAATCTTTAGAGAAAAGTCATTTCTTGAATATCACTGATTCTTCCTTTTCAGTACAAACATGAAGTAATTCAGGCCTGGGGAGGTGATCAGCTAAGAGAAAGAGCCAGCCGTTGGGTCTAATTCTAGACGTGCTTGGTTTTCCTCTCTACACTCCTAGCTCTGCAATGCTGGTGTCTCTTACCCAAAGCTCTAATACGTGAGTTTGCATCCTCTGCAAAGGAGATGGTAAAGTCCTGGTTATCTTCCCCACGCTGCTCCTGGGCATCAGCCTCATAAGCGCTTGCCTGGAGTGGCTCATCCTCGGCTTGGAGTGGCTCAGCCTGGGCCTGGAGGGCCACCAGGAGAATAGCAGCAAGGAAGGTGAGGGTTCTCATGGCTAGGGTCACCTGGGGGAGAGAGAGCAGGAGCAGATGTGTGGGGAGTGAGGAGCCAGCCTGGATTTATAGGTCTGCTGGGAGAAGGCTCAGAGACAGATGTTGCAGTGAGTTGGGGTGTGCATGTAATTGGGGAGCAGAAGAGCTACCCTTGCCCTCCAGGTCCCTTTGATGCTCCTTTGTTCTCCAATCTTCATTGAAGTGTGAGGCTATTCATTGAGTGTCTGTTCTGGTCCCAGCTGATAGTGGTGATAAGAACAGTGCTACACTTTCCTATTTTCCATCTGCTGGAATATTTACTTCTCAATATTCAAAAAAGAAAAGAACAGTGCTTTCATTGAATAAGTCCAGGAATCAAATGCCTTTTATTTTCTGAAGGTGTAGGTGGCCACTCTCTGGAGGTCTAGACCTTGAGGCCGGAGCTGGATTCCATTAGAGTAGAGGGCTAATTCATTTCAGGATTCAGAGGGGCATTTCTGCCCTCATGAAGGAGGCTTTGAGATTATGGGGTGAGTAGGCTCTTGTGGGTCACAGTGTGGAGAAGACAATGACCTTATCAGCTTATAGGGGAGATGAGCTCTGTGGGATACTAGGTAAAGAGTTAGTAAAACTAAAGCCAAGAGACAGATTTATTTCAAGAAACCATTGTGATCTGAACGTATCAAGTAAAATATGTACTAGGTATTTCTCTCCACTTTGAGAAATATCGAAACAATTGACATGCCCACAACCCCCCTCTGAAATTTTATTTTATTTTTTATTTTAGAAAACTTTAAATCACCCACAAGGAATATTCAAAGGGTAGAAGGAGTAATGAGCCTCTATCCCTGCCCCAGCCTTGCAGCTCTGCTCCAGAAAATCTCCACTTAAAAATTAAACACATTGGTTTGCACTTTGTTTTTTCCCCCTAATGCTGTAATTTGAATACTTTGTGGCTCAAAACACATAGAACTCTACCATTGTTTTCATAGTCTCTTGTTTCTGGTCTTCTATTCAGATGTTTCATCCATTTTGAGTTAAGTTTTGTGTATGGCATAAGAGAAGGGTCCAGTTTTATTGTTTTGCATGTGGAAATTGTATTCCCACCACCATTTATTGAAGAGACTCTCCTGTCCCCATTGTGTCTTCTTGATGCCCTTGTCAAAAATTACTTGACCATATGTGTTTGGATTTATTTCTGGACTCTCAATTTTATTTCACTGGTATGTGTCTGGTTTTATGCCAATACCATATTGTTTTGATTACTATAGCTTTGTAATATAATTTAAAACCAGGAATTGGGAGATCTTCAACTTTTTTTTTTTCCTCAGAATTGTTTTGGCTATTTGGGTTCTTTTACCATTTCATACAAATTTTAGTTTTTTTTTTTTTTTTTTAAATTTCTCTGAAGAATGCCATGGGGATTTTGATAGGAATTTTGCTGAATCTGCATATTGGTTTGTTGGGGATAGACATTTTAACAATCTTAATTCTTCCAATTTTCAGCCCAGGATATCTTTCCATTTATTTTTACATTCTTTAATTTCTTTCACTATTTTTTTTTTTTTTCATTTTCAGTGTGTAGATCTTTCACCTCCTTGTTTCTTCCTAGGTGTTTTATTTTTTGATGCTGTTATTAATGGAATTGTTTTCTTGATTTTTGTTTCAGTTTTGTTAGGGAATCTTTGGGCACTTAAAAAATGCATTTGTTTTGTATTTATTTGAATTTTGCCTTCATTTACCTAGTAGGAGATGACCATTTAACTAAGATCTAAATTTCTAATTAAACTTTCCCTCTCCAACCCAAACTGTAATTGTCCATTGTGAGTTATAGCTGTCAATGCTTCTTTCCCCAGTAGTTCATGGGAAAGGCAATAATTACTCTATCACCTGGAAATCTTACCCTACAGCTGTTACTCAGACACCCTGATCTAGCTAAGAGGACAAGATACTTCTGTAAAGAAGTGATCTAATTTGTCTTGACTTAAAGGAACATTTTGGAATTCTATACTCTATCTTTGGAAACTAAGAAGTGTTCCCAGCCTGTTTTAATTGAAATAGAAGATAACACAGACCAATCCCCATGGGCACTGGTAAATATTTAGACAGATGGGGAGCAGGAAGGCTTATCAGGATCCATATTAGAGCTTGTGAAGTCACCACAGGCACCACGCCAATAGACAGAACGCCTGGAAGTAAACAGAACTTCTAGATCAGTAGAATATCGAAGGGTGTCAGGGACAAGGGAACTTCATGTGGTTCCTTTCCCTCTGTCTACTTACCTTCCTGCCCCTAGTGTCACATACATGCAAATATTGAAGAACAAGCTCTATTTTAAAGAGCCCATTACTCTAGGATCCAGCTTTCAGTGATCATGCACAAAATTGAGGCAGGTATATCTCCCCCTTGTTTAGTCATCAGGCTCCTGCAAGAGAAGTAACCTCCCTACCATGATCCGCAGTCAAGAGGACCTTATCTCTGCTAACTGCCTTTCTTGAGTTAACCCCACCTCACTCCCACATGGAAGCCCTAATAAGAACCGAGCATCTTGGAGATGCCACCTAGATGCAGTTGACTTAGGCCAAGGGCTTTCTCTCTTCTCCTCAGTGGCTCCAGCATGCCTCCACACTGAGATGTCCTCATGCATCAGACACTGACCTAGCAGAGCCCACACTATCTTCCAGTAGAGAAGGACCTGCCCTTACAGAGAATTGGGTGGGCAGCACTGCAGTAGCACCTTAAGGACAGCAGGTGGCACTCCTGCCCTTAAATAGTAATTTACCCAAGCGGGACTTTATTTTTTTATTTTTATTTTTATTTTTTTATGTTCTTATTTCTTTTTTTAAATTTTTTTAAATTTTTTTATTTTTCATTATTATTGTACTTTAAGTTCTAGGGTACATGTGCATAACGTGCAGGTTTGTTACATATGTATACTTGTGCCATGTTGCTGTGCTGCACCCATCAACTCGTCAGCACCCATCAACTCGTCATTTACATCAGGTATAACTCCCAATGCAATCCCTCCCCCCTCCCCATGATAGGCCCCGGTGTGTGATGTTCCCCTTCCCAAGTCCAAGTGATCTCATTGTTCAGTTCCCACCTATGAGTGAGAACATGCGGTGTTTGGTTTTCTGTTCTTGTGATAGTTTGCTAAGAATGATGGTTTCCAGCTGCATCCATGTCCCTACAAAGGACACAAACTCATCCTTTTTTATGGCTGCATAGTATTCCATGGTGTATATGTGCCACATTTTCTTAATCCAGTCTGTCACTGATGGACATTTGGGTTGATTCCAAGTCTTTGCTATTGTGAATAGTGCCACAATAAACATACATGTGCATGTGTCTTTATAGCAGCATGATTTATAATCCTCTTAGTATATACCCAGTAATGGGATGGCTGGGTCATATGGTACATCTAGTTCTAGATCCTTGAGGAATCGCCATACTGTTTCCATAATGGTTGAACTAGTTTACAATCCCACCAACAGTGTAAAAGTGTTCCTATTTCTCCACATCCTCTCCAGCACCTGTTGTTTCCTGACTTTTTAATGATCGCCATTCTAACTGGTGTGAGATGGTATCTCATTGTGGTTTTAATTTGCATTTCTCTGATGGCCAGTGATGATGAGCATTTTTTCATGTGTCTGTTGGCTGTACGAATGTCTTCTTTTGTGAAATGTCTGTTCATATCCTTTGCCCACTTTTTGATGGGGTTGTTTGTTTTTTTCCTGTAAATTTGTTTGAGTTCTTTGTAGGTTCTGGATATTAGCCCTTTGTCAGATGAGTAGATTGCCAAAATTTTCTCCCATTCTGTAGGTTGCCTGTTCACTCTGATGGTAGTTTCTTTTGCTGTGCAGAAGCTCTTTAGTTTAATGAGATCCCATTTGTCAATTCTGGCTTTTGCTGCCGTTGCTTTTGGTGTTTTAGACATGAAGTCTTTGCCCATGCCTATGTCCTGAATGGTACTACCTAGGTTTACCTCTAGGGTTTTTATGGTATTACAAGGGATTTAAAGGACCTCTTCAAGGAGAACTACAAACCACTGCTCAGTGAAATAAAAGAGGACACAAACAAATGGAAGAACATACCATGCTCATAGATAGGAAGAATCAATATCGTGAAAATGGCCATACTGCCAAGGTTATTTATAGATTCAATGCCATCCCCATCAAGCTACCAATGAGTTTCTTCACAGAATTGGAAAAAACTGCTTTAAAGTTCATATGGAACCAAAAAGGAGCCCGCATCTCCAAGACAATCCTAAGTCAAAAGAACAAAGCTGGAGGCCTCACGCTACCTGACTTCAAACTATACTGCAAGGCTACAGTAACCAAAACAGCATGGTACTGGTAGCAAAACAGAGATATAGACCAATGGAACAGAACAGAGTCCTCAGAAATAATACCACACATCTACAGCCATCTGATCTTTGACAAACCTGAGAGAAACAAGAAATGGGGAAAGGATTCCCTATTTAATAAATGGTGCTGGGAAAATTGGCTAGCCATAAGTAGAAAGCTGAAACTGGATCCTTTCCTTACTCCTTATATGAAAATTAATTCAAGATGGATTAGAGACTTAAATGTTAGACCAAGAGGGACTTAAAATGGGAGTGCTATAAAGTGCTGTTCAGCAAACACATTGCTTTCTTCTGTACCCCAAAGTGTACGTATTACAACATTAGTTCAGGGGGGCACAGAATACACTGCTGCTGTCTCCGTGTCAGTAGTAGCTGCTGGCCCTGGAAGGCTGGCCTGCCTGTCTCTAACGTAGTGTCGTGATGTCGTTTCCTACTATGCTGGCCATGGAGCTGAGGACCTGAGTCTGGGGCCCTCTACTCTTTCTCCTGGGTGGCAATGCTCCTGTCCCTGACTCCTTCCCAGTCTGTGGTGGGGACTCGACAGCCAGGGCAGGTCAGGTTCTCGGTCTGTGCTGAGGTCTCACCTGGGCCTTGCCTCCATCTCCCCCAGGTGGCTCCCAAACCCCAATTAGAACAGAGTGAGTCTGTATCTTGTGGTCCCTTTCACCTTTCTTTCTTGGCTGCACCAGAA